CCCAGTACCTTTGAGGTGGTATGGGCTCCTCCAGGCACACCTGCCCTTAACCTATCCATTGATACATGTGCTCCTACTATGGAGGTTTTGGAAATTTTTAAGTTAGGTCCACAGTATACAGAGGACCCTTGACACGGAACTGTGGCTTATGCATGTATCTGCAAACGTGTGCAAACCAAACCTTCTGTTTTTAGTGGAAATTGTTAGACAGGGCCAAATTGGTTGTTTTGCAAGCTGGCTGGTAAGAGTTGCTGGGAAATCCTTTGTTTATTTGTATAATTTAAGCAGGCCATACACTGATAGGTATTTTGATTCCGCTTGCAGGCCAAATTAAAAAAGTCCAGCAGATTCCTCTATATACACTATACAGGAAGGACTGAATGAATCTGCTGGGCCGGCTGTCAGAATAACTAAACAGCACTGCATCTGAGTGGATGTGACCACTGTTCAGCCAACATTTTCCTGCCTAGCTCCAAGATTTTTCAATTGAAGGCTGTCAGGCAAAAAGGGTGACAACAAGGCCCCACACAAACTGAAATTCAGCGGGTTCATCAGGAACCCTTTCTTTGGGGGACTGGCTGGTAAGTGTTGCCGGGAAATCCTTTGTTTATTTGTGTAGTTTAAGATGGCCATACACTAATAGGTATTTTCATTCCAAAAAGATAATAGTACGAGCGCTAAATGCAATTATACAATATTAAAAAATAAATATATATATATATAAATATATATATATCAATATGAGTAAAAGTATAGCAGCTAGCACTCAGGGTATAGGTAACAGTCCCAGAATTGCAATCCTTTTTTAGAGAGGTATTTTCATTCCGTTGCAGGCCGAATGAAAAAAATCCAACAGATTCCTCCATCTACACTATAGGCAAAAAGGGTGACAACAGGGCCCCAAACAAACTGAATTTCAGCCGGTTCATCAGGAACCCTTTCTTTGGGGGATAAGTTGCTAAACCAGCTACTGCAGCATGTATGCACACACCCCCAGCTGCTTGAAAATGTCTATCTCAGAAGTTCTTCTATCACTCAATGTCTTCAGTGTTTTCTACATCCTCAGTGTTTCAGGTATCTAGGAATGTCCTTCCATACTGCCCCGTACTACATCACTGACCTAATATCCAAGTACCGCCCAACAAGCACACTCCGCTCCTCACAAGACCTCCTTATCTCTAGTTCCCTGGTCTCCTCCTCCCATGCCCGCCTCCAGGACTTCTCCAGAGTGTCACCCATCTTCTGGAACTCCCTGCCCCAACCCATCAGATTATCACCTACTCTCCTCTCCTTTAGGCGCACCCTGAAAACCCATCTCTTCAGGGAAGCCTACCCCACCCCCTGCTAACCTGCCGATCTCCTCCACTCTTCCTACCACTCTATCCCCCACAGCTATCTCCTCCTGTGCCACCATCCCCTACCTCCTAGATTGTAAGCTCCAAAGAGCAGGGCCCTCAATCCCCTCATGGTTTGCATTGTATTGGTATTGTTCTGTCACATGTTCTGTCCCCCTTTGTAATGTACAGCGCTGAGCGAACCATTGGCGCTTTATAAATACTGTATAATAATAAATGTAGCTACCAGCATTGTAAAATAACACATTAAATACTTTACCTTTACTAGCCATAAAACATGGAAAGTGAAAAGAAATTCATGTTCAAAATCCAACTTTACATTAATCCCTTTGTAGAGGCTGGTTCTCTAGCATGTCATTCTATGTTTGGGTGTGGGGATTTGGGAGTTATTTTTATCGCTACACAAACTAGGTAATCCAAAAAGACGCTTAACACCCAGGAAATGTTATATATGGAACAGAATTACAGGCAAAAATAACAAATGTGTCACATGGCTGGGTGTGTGTACAGGCAGGATAGGACAGTGGGTGTGCTGGTGTAGTTAGGATCTTGTGGAGATTTAAGCCTTTGCTGATTAATTTAAGGCCGGCTAATTAAAGTGCATCTCCATTTTATTAAGCTGAGATACTTTTGTCTGGCATCTGCTGCAGGGCTGCTTAGGAAGGTTCTACATTATAAATAGGCTATGTCAGACCAAATTTAAAAAAATGCACAAATGAGAGCACTAGGCATTCATTTTGGCTGACAGTATTAGTCCCCATTCACACCAGTGCAAACGGTCATGCCATTTGATAGTTTCAAATCACATGACAAGTCACACCCTATTGTCCGCAATGGAAGCGGTCAGATCAGCTCGATTTTGGCTCAGTCGGAGTCGCACCGATTTTGAAAGTACTTCATGCACTACTTTTTGCAAGTTCGGGTGCGACTTCCATAGAACATTCATAGACATAGTCTTCCAAGTCGCACCTGAAGTCGGACTGACATTCAACTTTGAAATCATGCGAATTCAAGTGAAGTCATGAGATTTTAAAGTCAGATTTGGTGTGACCGAAGACTTAAAGTGCTATTAAACCCACAACAGTGGAATCAGTCTGTATATGCAGTAAAGCTTGCTTGTTATACTCACTGTGGAACCTAATCCTTTGCATTGTTTAAAAAGGCTGTTTGATCCTGACTTCTCTGATCCTCCCCTTCTTCCAGTGTCTCCCTCTTATCTCCTGATACGACATATCACGTGGAAACACTCTGCACATGCTCAGTTTAGTGTGTATTGCTAAAGAGGTTTTTATTTTTTTCTGGAGAGAGTGTATGTGTTCAGCACAGGGCCAATCAGCACTATCCAGACAGAGGTCAAGGGATTTGCATCTCTCCAGAGCAGAAAGAAAACTCCTCCTACAAGGTTTAACATGTGCTCTGCTGGACACTGAAAGAAGTCACAAGACTGCTCTAACTGCTGATGAGAAAAGGTATTTAGCAGTTTATATTTACTAAAATAATTGCATTTCCATGTTGAGTGTACTGTGGGAGACCAAATATAGTGATTGCAGGGTCCAGGGAGACCAGATATAGTGAATGCAGGGTCCAGGGAGACCAGATATAGTGAATGCAGGGTCCAGGGAGACCAGATATAGTGAATGCAGGGTCCGGGGAGACCAGATATAGTGAATGCAGGGTCCAGGGAGACCAGATATAGTGAATGCGGGGTCCGGGGAGACCAGATATAGTGAATGCGGGGTCTGAGGAGACCAGATATAGTGATTGCGGGGTCTGGGGAGACCAGATATAGTGAATGCGGGGTCTGGGGAGACCAGATATAGTGAATGCGGGGTCTGGGGAGACCAGATATAGTGAATGCGGGGTCTGGGGAGACCAGATATAGTGAATGCGGGGTCCGGGGAGACCAGATATCGTGAATGCGGGGTCCGGGGAGACCAGATATAGTGAATGCAGGGTCTAGGGAGACCAGATATAGTGAATGCAGGGTCCGGGGAGACCAGATATAGTGAATGCAGGGTGCTGGGATTAGTAACACTTTAAACAGATGTATGAAATGTTCCTGATACTCTGATACCATTTTCTTTTTTTAACCAGTTGCAGACTCTGGGTGTGTTAGACTTTGCTCTGAATATAGAAACATACAAAGAAACATACAAAGAAACAATGTTTCACTTTGTATCTTTCTGTTTATTCATCTATAGATCAAAAGGGATGGGCTTAGATCTGCAGATGAAGTAAATTAAAGCAACTGGAGAAGTTAACAAAAAAATGTTTTAATGAAATGTTTCTTTGTTTAACCCCTTATTAACCTTTAGTTACTCTAATCAGCCCTAATTAACTCTTTATTCTCCTTCTCCATTCAATTATTATTCCTGCTGATTTTTTTTTTGTTTCCATTTTATTAACTAATAAGATTTAAACTTTTTTTTTTTTTTTGTTAGTTTTGTTCGTTAATATTTTTACATCTTTAACATATATTTACAAATTTCACATTTAAAAAAAGTGCAAAATTGGAAACAAAAAAACACTTAAATTCATTTGTAAATAACTTTGCAATGCTTTGTACCGGAATCCTAATTTTAGCATCATTTTAAACAGGACAAATTAGAGAACAACTTTTTATGTGCAGCAACACTATTTATTTTTAAACTAACACTACTCAAAAAGAAAAAGTGTGTTTTGTAACGTTTAATTGTTTAAGAATTGTTTGTCCTTAAAAAAAAACTATGTATATTTAAATTTTTGTCTTAAATAATGGCAAAGTTATCGCTGAATAAACAGGCCTGCGTCAGAAATGTAAAAATTGCTCTGCTCAGTAGGGGTGAAGAGGTGAACTGGTTAAGTTACTGTCTATGAGCTTTTACAATCTTTTGTTTTAAACCAAAAATGTAACATATTGAAGCTTACCAATCCTTCAATGTGGTGACTGCATTTTTTTCTTGTTTTAGGCTTTTTTTTTTTTAGCTGTTTTCAACTGGTGATCTGGCCATTAACACACCTCCTGTGCCTACACTCTGGATGAAGGAGAACAGGGGGCACCTTTGGACAGCAGCATTGTCAGTCTGGGGGGAGTGTTACATATACTAGAAGATCTAAACATACTAACATATTGAAGCTAAACTCCAGCTAATACTTTATAAGTTGTTACAGAAAATGTTTTTTTCCTTTAGGTATAAAGGTTTTACAAAAATAAATAAAAGCTGATCATTGTAGGCACCCCTGACAGTTGTAAATGGTTTGTTTCATCTTCCGATGGTGAGCTTGTTCTTTTGAAAAACACTCACTGGCAAGATCACCACGTGAAAATAGAAGAAAGCCTAAAAAATAAAATAATGCAGCCACCACAACTAAGAATTGGTAAGCTGCAATGTAATGAATGTTTGCCGTTGGGTTTCAGTCAATATCACTCTAAAGGTAAGGGGCCATCAATATACTGGTTGTTTCCCTGGAAGAGGAATGGTTTCTGGGTTTACCTTAAGATCCTCATAAGTGTCCGCTGACAGTTTGGTGCTGTTCATGTTTAAGCTGCAGAGGCTCTTCATAGCTAAGTATAAAATAGAGAAATATTATAAACGTATAGTCTATTGAATGCAAACAGTTAGAGAGACTATAGAAATGTGGGATGATAAAGGGAGATGCCTTACAGCTCAGTGCCAGCAGCCCAGCATCTGTGACAGGGGTTTCACACAGGTTGAGAACTTGCAGCGCAGTGAGGTGCTCAGATAAAACCCGCAAACCGGCATCTCCAAACTGCACACAAAAAAAACAGACAAATATTACTGTATTATATCAACAATCAAGTTTGTGAAATCAAAATATAATACATCGCTGCTAATGGAGAACATAGCTAGACATACTTGATCACCAGTGTGCTCTTTGAAACCAGGATGCCCATAAAAGTTCCTACTACATGCTGACTAGCCTCAAGATGGCTTTCCCCTGGCCAATTTCCAGGAATCAGGGTCCTTGCTGACCACCCCAATCAGAGCCACCGAGCTTCATATGACAAGGTGAAAGGTCTTCTCCTGAAAGGAGGGTGTAGGTACCTCTATCCATATTCAAGTATACAAGGGTGTATTTACCACAAAGCAAAGAAGGCATTTGCCTAGGGCAGAATTTTTCAGAGGGGCAGCAGCAGTTTTCAGGGGGGCAGTGCTGTCCCCCAAAAGAAGGAAAGGAAGAATGGACACAAGCAGCACAGGGACCAGGTGGGATCTGAGAGAGACCTGTAGGCTGCTTGATGGTGTATGCAGAGCCTGACCCTTGTTCCCGGGGATGTCCGGAGCTGTGAAGGTGAGTGTCTTATCTCTTGTAGGGGTGGGGGGGTTGCCAGTGTATGGGGGGGGCAGTGGTAGTGGAAGGCTCTCTCGGGTGGGGGGGTGCAGCTTGTCAATGGGGGGAGACAATTTTTGTGTTGCCTAGGGCAACATGAATTCTAAATACACCACTGCAAGTATTCATTGCCTGTTTACAATATTTAAAGTGGCTGTAACCTCTGACATATATCCAGTGAAGTGACTGGCCTCAGGTGATAAGTATACCTTATGGCGCTGCTCCAAGCTGTGGATGGAAGGAAAAAGATCACCCTACCAGCAAGTGAGAAGAGGGGAGCATGAGTCCGAGCGATTCCAGTATAAGTCAATACAAGTGAAGGGATGGACGCTGCTCAACCGACCCCAGGAATCCAATGTTAAGGAATGACCTGGCCGTGCTTCTAACGCGTTTCGTCCTGCCCACTGGGGCTTGGTCAGAGAGCCTGTCCAGGCCGTTCCTTAACATTGGACTCCTGGGGTCGGTTGAGCAGTGTCCATCCCTTCACTTGTATTGGCCTCAGGTGATACACACAGATAAAACCAATCCTCCTATGTAGGTTGTACCTGTTTATCTATAGCCTTCTTTCCCCTACATCCATTTAAAGTGCAGAATTTACCCAGGATCTCTCAGCTCTGAAAAGCAGGGGAGCTGAAGTTACTTCAGTGAGGAGAGCTCTGATAGCTGATTGGAGGGACGGGCACAGAACTCAGCACATAGAAACAGGGCTGAGGCTGTCAATCACAAGCTGTGCATTCCCGTCACCATTTTTCTCTTGGTGTTATGTAAACTTGTCAGAAGTGACTCATGCTGATAGCAGAAGAAGAAGACAGTGAAAAGAAATGACACTCAGTGCTCTGGACTGAGACAAGTACACACTATAGAGGGATAGGCTTTGTTCACATTTCATGTCCGAGGTTTACAACCACTTTAAATATGTTCAAGTTTCCTCTCTCTAACATCATTTTTAACATAAAAATTAAAGTGTACAAGACCCTAGCAATGAAAAAAAAGATATGAGAATCACTGCAAAACATTTACTCGCTTCTCCTATTTAGTTCACTTTTTGGGCTGTTAAATATGTCATTGAAAATGTTTTGTTCTATCTGTTTGATAAGTACAAACGAATATCTGTTGGTCATGTCAGAAATTCAGAGCTGTCTTGTGTACACTTCCTGTGTTATCCCATGAAATTGAATTAGCCCTCCTGGTTCTCATCTTGGGACACAGAAGGATTAGTGTACATGCTGTGAAGATGATAGGGTGGCAGGGTTTTTAGTAGTTTAGCAAAAGACAACTAGGCAGGGCTGACACCACTCGGTTCACAACAGGACTTAGAAGCCATGCACATTTCTGATCAGTTATTTTTCTATACTTGCAGGTTCATTAAAGGGAAACAAAACAAACGAGTAAATGTTGTGCAGAGATGCTCTGCATATATATATATATATATATATATATATATATATATATATATATATATATATATATATTTTTTTAACCCTGACATACACTTTAAGCTGTGCATTATATTGCAACATCACTCAGTAAAATCAGCTGGTTAATGCAATACGTAAGCTATCCTACTTGATTCTTTGTTTCTGCAGGTCTCAAATATTACTCCTTAACAGTGCAACTGAAAACACAGCTGCATTATAGATACAGCTGTGTCCATAGAATGCTTCTGTCTGGTGTCAAAAATTATAACCACAACCATGTATTCTTCTCCACTTCTCATTGGTATAATTTACCTATAGAACAATAGATGCTTCTAAAGCATAAGAAAAAAAGGAGAAATAGATACCAAATACAGAACTAATCATGTATTTGCAGAACCGGAAACGCTGACTAATTCAGCTCCTGGGCAAGCACTGGAAAACAGCTGTTGGTTCCTGCCCTTTTGCTCAAAAGGCATGCTCACAGCTGGCCAGAGCTACAGCAATCTGAAAACCAGTGCTGTGCCTGACAACAAGTTTTGCTGAGCAATTTTAACCTTTTCATGTGAGCACCTCCCGGCCCTTTAAGTTGTTTCAGATGCCGGGAGGCGGGGCGAAGTTTTAGAGTCATGTGCCCGCTGTGATTCACTGTCACATGATCGGAAAAGGTCCCAATCGCAAGGGGAGATCGGGACCTTTCCGTGAGACACCGACATATGTGCTGGGAGCACGTGTTTTCAAATGGTACGCAAATATGCGGTCGATCGGCATCAAGGCAAAGCCACCGTGAGGCCGCATATTTGCATTCAGTCAGCGTCAAGGGGTTAAAGCAGCAATAGGAGTAAAGTAGTTTTAAAATCCCGTCTGACTCGAATGCTTTTTTCGGAGGGGATTATAGTCTCTCCCTTACTACCGTTTCCTTTTCCTCCAGCCTATGCAGTTAATGTCAGGCAGGCAAAGAGTGGGAAAGACAAAACTGTGGCTAGATTTTCCAGGAAAGGTGGTGACTTGCATAGGAGACATTCGAAAGTTTAGAAGGAAGATTACTGAAGAATAGAGCTATGTAGCAAGATTCCCTAAATGTAGACCCAAACTCATTGCTACACTCGAGAATCACCGTTTTAATGAAAAGTGGTATCTCTGAAAAGGATTACTTTTGGCAAAATGTCAGGTCCTCTGTAACTGCTGGAACTTGCATCATGTTCAAATGTGGCTGCTTAATTTCTGTAATGTACTGTAGTTCTGTATGAGAACCTGTTAGCTCACCTCCTACTACATCCTGTCAGCCGTTAACCACAACCCCATCCTTAGTTCGACATACCTGAGTTGACCACAGGTTGAGCTGTTTGAGTGAAGGCAGCTTGATGAGTTGCTCAGCACAGGCACTCGTTACATTGGTGAAGGCCAGACTGAGGTTTTCTAGGTTTCCGAAAGAGCCGGAGCTCAGTAACCTGGCGAGATCCGCATCCTGCAAACAGAGTGCCTCTTTTAATATATATATACCAAGGTGAAAATACTGTTTGGGTTGTGATCACATACAAATAAATAAAATGCAGCAATTTACAAATACTAGTGACCATTTTTCTTGACATCTTAAAAATGAGAAATGTAAGATCTGCCTTTATAAAAAAATTTAATTATATTGCCAAATCTGGGACAGTTAGTAATTATAAAACAACTGAAAGCCAAATTCCAAGAAGATGGCCATTGCTCTTCCAGGGCCGCCTTGGAACGCACGTCCCGGAAGTGACGTCAATGGTGGGCGGTGACGCGTTTTTTGGAGCATGAGCAATCACTCCTTCATTAAGACCGTGTCTTGAACGGTGTGCGGTGGCCATCTTGGAATTGCACCTGCTCTCCCCCTGCTGCTGCTGGATGGCACAGTGCAGGGGCGGACTGACAACTCATGGGGCCCCCGGGCAATAGGGGATCATGGGGCCCCTGTGTCCTTGCCCAAACTCAAAAAAGCCTATGAAAAAGGTACCAGGGGCATCTCATGGGGCCCCCTACTGACCCCAGGCCCTCGGGCAGTGCCGAGTTTCCAAATGGTCAGTCCGCCCCTGGCACAGTGACAGGAGCCCTGCATTGACATTTTTATATGCCTGAGCCTTATCACCTTTTGTAAGTGGTTTTAACCAACAAATATGTGGGTATACTGCGATTTCTTGTTCTCTTCTGTTTTGAAAAATGGGAAGGCACTCTATGACTTCAAAGTCCAAAGAGGTGCTTGCCATCTTCTGATTATTTATATCTGACAGGTTTATTGTGCTTCCGGAGCTCCAATGCTGGACTCTGCTGGTCTCAGCACCTTCAAGTTTAGAGTCGGTGCAGCTACTATGCCTGCCCCTCCTCCTGTCCAATCACAGATGCCTTTGTATTAGTTGAACTCATTCACAAAATACAAAGGCTTCTGTATTGTTGGCTTATCCATATTATTTACAGGGGACAAAAAAAAATGGAAACACTACATGATTAGCAGGTGTGAAAGTGACCACATGTTTCGCTTTGGAAGAGGAAGTCACATAACATTCTTTTGCCCCTCCCCTCTGCTGTCCATATACAGAAACCTTTGTATTTTGTGAATGCGTTCAACTAATACAAAGGCTTCTGTGATTGGACAGGAGGAGGGGCAGGCATAGTAGCTGCACCGACTCTAAACTTGAAGGTGGGTATGCATTAATATATATGATGTATGTATATTGCTGTTTATCAATTCAGTTCTATCAGTAGAACGGAGTGACAGCAGAATGAAAGGAAGGTGAGTATTTGCAACTGGGGAGGGAAGGAAATTAAGTGAACCTATTGTTTTGCCCTTTAACGATTTTTTCATAGTTGTGTACTATTTATTTTAATTTTTAGTTGAAAACTACATCACAGAGCACAATGGATTTATTAATGCACAAAACAGAAACTGTTTGTCTCCAGATTATCTCTCTATGATTGAAACTTCCTAACTGGGAGAAACAGGAAGGATGAATCACTGAGCCATTCAGTGTAAACTGCAGCTTCAGCTACTGAGCTCTATAAACTCCAGACACTTTTCCAGCAAAGTAGGTAAGATTATTACGACATGAGAAATGAACCCTAGAGGTCCACCTGCTGTGTAAAAATGAAAAAAAAAATATCTCTAGACAATATTTCGTTTTTAGTCCTGACCATAATGAGCAAAAGAATATAGAGTATTTGTAAAACCACTACACATTCCCTAACAGACCCTGTCACCGCTTTAAAAAATAGAATTCTCAAAAGAGCTATGGCCAGAATCTTCACATGCAGCACTCCCAGTATTGGATGCTCGTGCCCCCCATTGCAGGCTGTGGTTCCTCATGCCAGCTCCTATATCAATACAGAACACAGCAGTGATGTAGCGGCCAGTAGAAGGTACCACAGCGAGGACCAGACATCTGAAATACCTGCAGCTGTGCTGGATGCAGAATACTCTCTGACAGCATGGGGGGGGGGGGGGGGGGGGTTGGCAAGTATTACCAGCCTTATACTGCAGGGTGTATTTATTTAAAAAAAAAAATGACATAGTTGCTTTAATTAACATTCCTTATTGGGTTTTGATGCAGCTAATGGCTTTAGATGATGGTTAATACAAATGCAATTGCAGTTGAAACCAAACATATTGTGAACAAGCAATGCTTACTGTGGACTTAGATGGCAGTGTTAGGCGAGTGGGACCTCCTTTTCTTTGCTGTAAATACAATGAATGAATGAAAAGAGTCAACATATGAAATATAACAAAATATTGCAAATGATTGATAAATCATTGGAATCCTAATGACTGCTAACCTGGTTATAATTCATTTTATCATTGCAAACAAAAAATGAACCACATCACATTAAAGGAAAAGATTTTTCATAAGTCATTTCATCTACTTTAAAGTATATCTAAAGTAACAATATGGCAATAAAAACTTGAAAAAGTCTCTTGCTAAAGCCAAGCTAAAAAACCCCAAAAAAGGCTAGGTTGGACCTGGGTTTTAGCAGCAGGTTAACTGTAATGCGGGCAGCAAGGCCCATTGGGTAGCTGCCCCTGGTCAATGGCTGCATTATGGGTTCATTCCTATATCTTCCCCAGGGGATCCATCCTCCCACACATAATATTAACTGTTCTCTTATTAAAAACACAAAAACATTGTCATCCCCATATAAATCTGTAAAAAACCACAAAAACATTGTCATCCCCATATAAATCTGTATAAAAAGAAAAACATTGTCATCCCCATATAAATCTGTAACAAAACACAAAAAAATTGTCATCCCCATATAAATCTGTAAAAAAAAACACAAAAACATTGTCATCCCCATATAAATCTGTAAAACAAATACATATACAGCACTTTTTCCAGGCATTTTCAAAAATGCAGAACTTACCAGCTCTTTCAGTTCCCGCTGTCTGTCGCAAAGCTGCTCGTACATTTTCTTTCCTACATCTGTACTCTCCAGGGTAGATATGATCTGCAGCTGTGTGTCATTGTTTTCTATGATGTTGTATTCCAGCATTAGACAAAGGATCTGAAAACAACAACAGGAGAATTTCAAAGCAAACTCAAGGCTAATCAAAATGATGCCAGTTGATAACAATTGCAATTCAACAGCAGCAAACCATTACTTTTTTGTTTCTTTTTTTTGCCAGCTTCCAATGGGAGATCACTTAATATGCAAAACAGTGGCTGTATGTAAAGCCTGGATATGTAATAAGTAAACATGGCTTCCCCCTATGTACCAGGGGCGGACTGACCATTTACCAGGGGCGGACTGAAACGTGGGCACTGCCCGAGGGCCCGGATCAGTAAGGGGCCCCATAAGATGCCCCTGGTACCTTTTTCATAGGCTTTTTTGAGTTTGGGCAAGGACACAGGGGCCCCATGATCCCCTATTGCCCGGGGGCCCCATGATTTGTCAGTCTGCCCCTGCTATGTACTGTACATAAATGCTTGATAACTATATCCAGCACAGGGCAGCACAGTGGCTGAATGGTTGGCACTTCCGCCTGGCAGTGCTAGGGTAGCTGGTTCGAATCCCAACCACGGCACCTCCTGCCTGGAGTTTGCATTTTCTCCCTGTGCCTGTGTGGGTTTCATCTGGGTACTCCAGTTTCCTCCCACACTCCAAAGACATGCTGGTAGGTTAGTTGGATCCGGTCTAAATTGGCCCCAGTATGTGTATATTTGAATGTAAGTTAGGGACCGTAGATTGTACGCCCGTTGAGGGTTAGGGACTGATGTGAATTCACAATATATATGTAAAGCGCTGCGTAAATTGACAGCGCTATATAAGTACCTGTAATAAATATCCGGACGCAAGCTTTTTAAAGCTTAACTCCAGCCCATAAGAAAGAAATACACCAATACAGCTAGTTAATCATTAATAAATCATATAGTGAGCTGAGAGATGATCCTATCAGTCTTCTGCTGCTCTTTTTCTATCCAATTAGCAGGCTGGGACGGAGAGAGGGCACCACTCTATTCCCTTCCACAGTCTATAACTAACAGAGAAAGCAGTGTCATCCACCTGGCTGTGCCATGCGTTAGGACTGTGAAAATATCAGAACTGGGGAACAGAAATACAAATTGTTTGGAAGGTAAACAGTTGCAGTATATGTATTTTACTATTGTTTTTTTAATTGATTGCCTAGAGTCCAGCTTTACCAATAATTGATCAGAATATTGGCATCAAGCTAAATGTCCTTTTACATGGGTGTTCCGTTCTTTTCATCATTACAGTTACGTTTAAAATAAATAAATAAAAATCTGTTTTTCATCAGTTTTTACATTCACTACCAATGCAAAAATGGATGCAAAAGAGGACCATTTGTCTGTTTACATCAGTTTTTCATCCTTTACGTTTTTTTTTTTTTTTACTGAACAAAAGTAGGGCTTTGATCTGTTCCAAAAAAAAATGGATGTTGATGGATACAGATGTAATCGATGATCATCTGTTTACACACATTTTCCATAGAGATGCACTGATGACAGCTGAATGAAAAACAGGCAAATGTAACGCCCAATGCAAAAATGGATGCAAAAGAGGACCATTTGTCTGTTTACATCAGTTTTTCATCCTTTACGTTTTTTTTTTTTTAACTGAACAAAAGTAGGGCTTTCATCTGTTCCAAAAAATGGATGTTGATGGATACAGATGTAATTGATGATCATCCGTTTACACACATTTTCCATAGAGATGCACTGATGTCCATTTTTCATCCATCAACAGCTGGATGAAAAACGGGCAAACGTAACACCCATGTAAAAGGGGCCTTTGGGAAAAGAATAAAAATGGCAGTTACCATTTAAAAATAAATAATTTTTCCCGTAAAACAGAAATATGATCCAGTCATGCGATTATTCCAGAATGATTTGTGGAAAGGTTATTTATCTTTTTCTTACCGAGTATACTGCATAGGTTCAATGAGATGTGAGAGCTTTGTAAAGCATTGTTGAGTATGTTGCTCTGTAGACATAGGTGAGTGCAATGTCTGCTTTACGTCAGCACAGAGCCTTTCTGCAGTTGCTTCCTGTCTCCATGCTCTGTAATCTTTAATACTCATTTCGGAGCCCTTTATCTGTCTGTGTGCCCTTCCTTTCTTTCCTACAGCAGGAGTTACAGTGCAGCTAAGATATAAGTGGGGATACAGGACATTTTGCCAGATACACAGTATACTGAGCCATCTGTGCTCTGTTTTCTGCAAGCCATTAGGCCAATGTGTGCTCATTGGCGGTTCTCGTACCTCCACCATGGTCTGGTTTCCTCGCAAGGCAAGCAACATGCATGGCCCCAGCTTATTCTCGGCCAGCGACAGGAGAAATTTCTTGGTTTTATAACAGGAACCCATCAAAATGTGAACCTGCGTGAGAAGAGAAGTGTTACATGGGACTTCATAAAAGACAAATAATTCTTAGCACAGTTCAGCCTTGGCAAACAACATACTGCAACGGTTTTTAAATGTGCTTCATTATTTAAAAAACAAAAAAACACAAAACATTTACCACAACATTGAATTAATTATATAGGGCTGCCATTGTGTGTGTGGTACAGAGTTCACAGCACCATTCACATTAGTCAGTCACTGCCCCAGAGGAGCTTACAATCTAATGTCCCTTGCAGAGAGCCATACAGGGGATCACTTCTAGTAATTACCATACGTTTCTCCCTGCTGCCCAGACACCCCCCCCCCCCTGTGTGCCCCCACCCCCACAGTGCTTCCAGCTTTCCTTCTCTCCTTCCCACTGGCAGCTGCTGCAGAGATCCATACAGGGGATCGGTTCTAGTAACTACCATAGTAATTACCATACATTTCCCCCTGCTGCCCTGGCCCCCCTGTGTGCCCTCACCCCCGCACTGCTTCCAGCTTTCCTTCTCTCCTTCCCACTGGCACCTGCAAGCACACAATAGGATCCTGCTGGATGGAGAGTGGGGAAAAGGTCTTGTAAATATGTCACATTTACCAGCTCCTTTCTTTCCTGAATGAACACAATGAGTGATCAGTACTGTACACACACTGTGTTCATGCACAACTAAAGCATAGTAAACAGTTTTTTTAGGGGGGGTCTTGTCAGGTTGGCTGTATGGGGCCCTGTGGTTTCTAACACAAGCCCTGGCTACTTGATCCTGAAGAAATCTTCACTACTGGACTGCTCTGTTCTCTTTCCATGGATGAACTTCTGGTGGGTTGAAAGCTTTGGGTTCTACATAAAGCTGCAAAAAAAAGTTCCAGACAAGGACCCGCCTCCTTCTTTCTCCTTCTCCTATGGGAAACGTTCCTTCATTGCTTCCACTACCTGTAACAAAATCTGTGAACAGAGAGAGAATCCTGTGACTCAGCCTCTCTCCCATTCCCAGATCATGCAATCACATAATATTTCTCAATGGTGGGGGATTCTTCATTGGGGGATTTTTCATAGCAGCTCAACCTGGAGTCCAAAACGATTAACCCCCCGTGCGCTGTAAATTCATCCACAGGAAGAGGACAAGGCAGCCCAGCAGTGAAGATTTCACCAAGATCCAGCAGCCTGCACATTGCGGGACATCATTCATGACAGTTAAATTACATAACTAACGCAATAGAGAAAGAAAAATAGCTAAACTTCAGCTTTTTGTCTTTCAGATTTTTGGGGAGATTGTGTATGGTGAGAAATACCTGGATCTGAAGTCCAAATGTAATGACTGTAGTATCCATGTATTGTTTGAAGTAGAAACTATGCCAAAAAAAGCCTTGGTTTATGGCTCAACAACCATCTTAATTGGGACATACATGTGGTAATCTCCTTTTCTATCTTATTAACACCAACAGTGTCAGACTTGATCTGCTGGATAAAGCCCTCCCAGGCTGTACCAACCAGATCTGCCATCTCTACAATTAACACAGCATCCAACACAATGGTGTTTACCACCACATGATATAGTACAACGTTATTAAATAGGTAGTGTGCAGGATGCTAACATCCAAGATATAAGTAATCACCCAGGGGTGATCATCCCACATAATGGACTTACAACTTAATGGTGAAAAAAAAAAAGGAGAAACGGAATTCAAAGATGATAACCGGGCACACAGAAAAATATAATACATTAAAACAGTAATTATTAAAAATATCTTAGATTAAAACATCACAAAATATTCATAAAAGCACAAAATATATATTTCTAGTCATGCCCCTGCTATGTCTACGCGTTTAGCAGGCATCCACTTCTTCAGCACTATAACTTTATTTTATTTGTTTACTGTATTTTTATTCATTCTGTGTGCCTGTTGGTAACCCTTGAATTCCCTTTTCCTTTTTTTCCCCCCCATTTGCTTTTCAGTGCATTATGGGATGATGACCCCTGGGTGATTGCTTATATATTGGGAGTTCGCATCCTTCACACTATTTGATGCTGTTGTATTAAAGGTTAAGTCCACCTTTTTGCCCATGTTTCATGTCACAGCCATATTTAGGTTGTAACATAAAACATGGTCACATTACCCAGCTACACTCAAAAATGCATGCAAAGCATCTTCTATGTCCTTACAGGATGGTGTCAACTTACAAGCCGACCTCAATGCACTGTGTAATTGGGCAACTATGTGGCAAATGAGGTTTAATGTTGATAAATGTAAGGTTATGCACTTGGGGCTAAGAATATGCATGTATCATACATACTAGGGGGGGGGGTACAACTGGGGGAATCAATGGTGGAGAAGATCTGGGAGTTCTGGTAGATCACAAGCTTAATAATGGCATGCAATGCCAAGCTGCGGTTTCTAAAGCGAGCAAAATCATCTCTTGTATTAAAAGAGGTATAGACTCCAGAGAGAGAGAGAGAGATATCATATCACCCCGGTACACATCATTAGTAAGACCTCATCTGGAATATGCAGTTCAGTTTTGGGCACCAATTCACTAAAAGAACATTGGGGAACTGGAGAAAGTAGAGAAGGGCAACCAAACTGATAAGAGGCATGGAGGAACTCAGCTATGAGGAAAGATTAGAGGAACTGAAATCTCTCTTGAGAAGAGGAGATTAAGGGGGATATGATCAACATTTATAATACATAAGGGGGGATATGATCACCATGTATAATGCATAAGGGGGGATATGATCAACATTTATAATACATAAGGGGGGATATGATCCATGTATAAAACATAAGGGGGGATATGATCTCCATGTATAATACATAAGGGGGGATATGATCTCCATGTATAATACATAAGGGGGGATATGATCTCCATGTATAATACATAAGGGGGGATATGATCTCCATGTATAATACATAAGGGGGGATATGATCTCCATGTATAATACATAAGGGGGGATATGATCTCCATGTATAATACATAAGGGGGGGATACCATCACCATGTATAATACATAAGGGGGGATACCATCACCATGTATAATACATAAGGGGGGGATATGATCACCATGTATAATACATAAGGGGGGGATATGATCTCCATGTATAATACATAAGGGGGGATATGATCACCATGTATAATACATAAGGGGGGATATGATCACCATGTATAATACATAAGGGGGGATATGATCTCCATGTATAATACATAAGGGGGGATATGATCTCCATGTATAATACATAAGGGGGGATATGATCACCATGTATAATACATAAGGGGGGGATATGATCTCCATGTATAATACATAAGGGGGATATGATCACCATGTATAATACATAAGGGGGATATGATACCATGTATAATACATAAGGGGGATATGATCACCATGTATAATACATAAGGGGGATATGATCTCCATGTATAATACATAAGGGGGGATATGATCTCCATGTATAATACATAAGGGGGATATGATCACCATGTATAATACATAAGGGGGATATGATCACCATGTATAATACATAAGGGGGATATGATCACCATGTATAATACATAAGGGGGATATGATCTCCATGTATAATACATAAGGGGGATATGATCACCATGTATAATACATAAGGGGGGATATGATCTCCATGTATAATACATAAGGGGGATATGATCACCATGTATAATACATAAGGGGGATATGATCACCATGTATAATACATAAGGGAGGGATGATCAACATGTATAATACATAAGGGGGGATATGATCTCCATGTATAATACATAAGGGAGGATATGATCAACATGTATAATACATAAGGGGGGATATGATCTCCATGTATAAATACATCAGTGATTCAAATAGTGAACTCAGTGTAGCATTATTCACCCTGAGGTAATCACAGAGGACAAGGGGGCACTCTTTACATCTGGAGGAAAAGAAATTTAATGTCCAAACATGGAAAGGTTTCTTCACAGTGAGAGCTGTGAAAATGTGGAATAGACTCCTTCAAGAGTTGGTTCTGGCCAGCTCAGTGGATTGCTTTAAAAAATGCCTGGATTCTTTCTTAGATACACAGAATATAACTGGATACTAATATTTATAGGTAAAGTTGATCCAGGGAATATCCGATTGCATCTCGGGGGATCAGGAAGAAATTTTTTTCCATGCAGGAGCAAATTGGATCATGCTTTGCTGTTTTTTTTTGCCTTCCTCTGGATCAACTGTGGGTATAGGATAACTTTTTTTTTTCAATGATTGAACTGGATGGACTTTTGTCTTTTTTCAGCCAGACTAACTATGTAACCTGGAACAAGTATAAAGATAAGTAAATCTGACTCCTGTGTACAGCATACATGTTCCAGTGCAGTCAGTTCCAGTCAGTTTCTGGTACAGAAAAAAAAGTAGAACATTCTGCATTGTTTCTGTACAGATCTGTACTGGAACATAGCAAACTGCATCAAAACTGCTCCGGAACGGGGTGTGGTGCGAACTGTAAGCAAAAATGTATCTGGAATGCATCCAGAGCGCATTTTTGCGGTGTGAACTGGCCCTTCATGGAGAGAATAAAAAAAATGTTGTAATGTATATTTATTCATAAGGATCTGTATATCAATTCTCTTCTTTAGATATACAATATAAATGTTAGTTTAGGGAACCATTATTACTTTTTTTGCGCTGGGAATATAGCCATAAAACTGGCAATTTGTTTACTGGTTTTTACTGGTCTGATACCAGACCATACTCTACCTCTGCTGTGAGAATATTTAGCTTGGCTGTACATTTCTACTTATGTCATTGTAGAGGGAAGGAAGAAGGAAATGTCTCCAACAAAAGCTGTCTGGTCAATGTTCCCCCATGAGCTTGAGAGATCACGAGACTGTCACATCAAAAGCATGGAGTGAAAAGGGTTAGGCCAGCTTTTTTCAACCAGGGTGCCTTCTGGACTCCTCAGGGGTGCCTTGGCAAAATGCCTAAAAATGGCCCTAAACTGCCCCAAAATTGTAAAAAAAAACAGAAATCGAACACCTGCCTTATTTTACACAAAGCCACTATTTTTTATTGTGTGGCATTGCAAACCTTGGGCACCATGTAGGCCAACTGCTGGCATCCTAACAGCCGATGATGTCATCGGTTGATAAGGAGGACATCGGGTTTCTGTGCAGCATCCTTGTTTGTCCCTCCCTGCCAGCACTTGGGGTCACGTTAGCTCAGTGAGGGAGTGAAATTGAGGGAGAAGAGAAACAATGGAATACTAGTCAGTGTGCAAAGCTATATTTGCTTTGTAAGAATAAATCACCTCCAATGTTGGGTGTCTTACATGTGCAGATTCTGCTGCACTATGTAAAACCTTTAGTTTAGTTTTTTACATTTTAGAATGGGGTGCTCGAGAAGAACTTTAAAGAGTGCCTTGACTCAAAAAAGGCCATAAAAAGTATGTTTCTTTCACTTTTTTCTAACAGGTTTATTTAATATGGCAGTATTGGATAGAATCAGTGTTAAGCAGTTCTCTTGTAAAACAGCAGACTATGTCAAACATTTACCTACTTTAAAAGTCTGTGTTACGTATTTTTCACTCTACTCACTAGCTAAAAAGCAGCCATAATTAGAACCAAAGGTGACTCCGGGTAATCTATGTTTAATCCAATGACATCATACATGGAGAGGAATACACAAAAGCATTCCAACTTCCTCTCTGATTGCATCACAGATATTAGATCCTGCTCCCTAGATATCATAATAATGTCCTTAAAGTGGAACTTTTAACTAAAAAATAAAAATAAGGCTGATATACTACAGGAATTTTATTTAAATAAATTGTGTGAATATATGCTTTGACTACCCAATTATGTGAAAAGCAAATTCCTGTTCCCTTTCAACTACCCAAATATGTGCAGATGAAATATTAAAACAGCAATATGCTTTTCACATGATTGGTAAAGTGTTACTAAACCCAGGGCCCTGAATTCACTATATCCGGTCTCCCCGGACCATGCATTCACTATATCTGGTCTCCCCGGACCCTGCATTCACTATATCTGGTCTCCCCGGACCCTGCATTCACTATATCTGGTCTCCCCGGACCCTGCATTCACTATATCTGGTCTCCCCGGACCCTGCATTCACTATATCTGGTCTCCCCGGACCCTGCATTCACTATATCTGGTCTCCCAGGACCCTGCATTCACTATATCCGGTCTCCCCAGACCCTGCATTCACTATATCCGGTCTCCCCAGACCCTGCATTCACTATATCTGGTCTCCCCGGACCATGCATTCACTAAATCTGGTCTCCCAGGACCTTGCATTCAGTATATCCGGTCTCCCCGGACCCTGCATTCACTATATATGGTCTCCCGGACCCTGCATTCAGTATATCTGGTCTCCCCGGACCCTGCATTCACTATATCTGGTCTCCCCGGACCCTGCATTCACTATATCTGGTCTCCCCGGACCCTGCATTCACTATATCTGGTCTCCCAGTACCCTGCATTCACTATATATGGTCTCCCAGAACCCTGCATTCACTATATCTGGTCTCCCAGACCCTGCATTCACTATATCTGGTCTCCCAGACCCTGCATTCACTATATATGGTCTCCCAGTACCCTGCATTCACTATATCTGGTCTCCCAGACCCCTCATTCACTATATCTGGTCTCCCACAGTACACACAACATGGAAATGCAATTATTTTAGTAAATATAAACTGCTAAATACCTTTTGTCATCAGCAGTTAGAGCAGTCTTGTGACTTCTATCAGGGTCTGGCTGAGCCCTGGTTAAAGCTTGTAGGAGGAGTTTTCATTCTCCTCTGACTGTCCTATGAGATTGTAAGACCAGGTCTTGACAGCGCCGATTGGCTGTGTGCTGATCACATGCACCCTCCCAAAGAAAAAAAAACTCTCTAGCAATACATGCCAAACAGAGCATGCGCAGAGTGACTCCTAGAGCTCTGTACTATCAGCAGTTGGATTGGGGACAGTAGAAGAAGGGAAAAATCAGAGAAGACAGGATCAAACAGCCTTTTTTACACAATACAGTATATTAACCCCTTAGGTTCCATAGTGAGCATAACAAGCATGCTTTACTGCACATACATACTGATTTTACAGTTGTGGGTTTAGTAACACTTTAACTGAAGTGAATACTCACACAATTTATTCAGTGAAGATTCTTCACTCTTTTTAGTAAATCAGCTCACATATGTGCTACCTATGTCCAGGTTTTGTAGCCGAAAAATTTACAGAAACCATTTTTTTTATAAAATAAATTCTATTCTTATTGCTGTGGGGACTTCTGCTTATAACTTATGTTGTCACCACTACAGGAAGTACAGGAAGACTTTCCGCAGACACACAGAAAAAAAAATCTACTTTTTTTTTTATAGGGAGCAAAGGTTAGAATATCTTTTAGGTGTTTTCTGTACCTGATTTCCCTTTATGTCCTGTGACAACTGTCACTAGGATGAGAAGTGAAGATAAATTTCCCCAGCAGGTACACTAAACTGGAAATAGCACTTTCTGCCCACTCCAATATGATAAGCCCTCTCTAGGATTCTTTTTTTTGACAGAACGTATAGAAAGTCACAAGAGCACGTCCACTTAGTTCTCAAAACATCCATACTAGAACCATAGTTAAAATAATGGAAAGTAAGCTTGCAGTGGGCAGAAAATTAAACTCACATTATTGCAGACACGTACCATACTGGCAAAGAGTTCACCATCATCATCACAGGCGACACCCCCTGGGCTGTATAGCTGGAACCAGCCGTCCTTCCCAGCTCTGACGCTCAAGAGACAAGAGTGAACCTGCGGGAGGAGAAAGATATTATTTTTAATGAAGGAACACAATAATCATCTTAATCGAATAGCCTTTAGCCAATTTCAATTCAAATTAGTTTTACATATTTATTATAAAAAAAAAAGAAAAGAAAAAAAAAAAAAAGAAAACCAACCATTTTTACACCCAAATCCAAAAGTATTGATTGATTAAAGAAACTGTCACTTTTCCTGCTCTCCTCCTACACTCTATTCCTTTTGCAGTAGTCAGTTTAGTAGACTTTGGGATTTAATTCCCTTTGTGTGCCCGCCTCTCTTTCTCCTCCATCTATCCTCTGTGTGACACAATTTTGATATGGTATATTTTTATCGTTTGAAATTTGATTTTTTATTTATCCTTTTTTGGGTTACTGAATATTATGTGACTGTTTTATTCATTGCATTATTTGTCGGCTACCATATTCTACTACGAAGACAAAGTGGATCCTGAGAGAAGCTTTTTAGAAGCGAAATGTGTTGGTCACCATGACCAAAAGCCTGTATATGATTTTGCTATTTGGTTGTAGCTGATGGATATTGTTTTTTATTGTATGCGTATTTTAATGTACTGTACAAATGAAAAAAGTAACTACCCCGCCTCAACAACAGATCAAGGGAGTGCTATTAACGTGTGTACGAAGCTGGCCATAAACTAGAAGATTTTTGACTGAACATTTGGTTGATTATTATTATCATACAGTATATATAAAGCACCAATAGTTCGCTCAGCGCTGTACATTACAAAGGGGGACAGAACATGTGACAGAACAATACCAATACAATGCAAAACATGAGGGATCGAGGGCCCTGGTCTTTCGAGCTTACAATCTAGGAGGGAGGGGATGGTGGTACAGGGGGAGATAGCTGTGGGGGATGGAGTGGTAGGAAGAGTGGAGGAGTTCGGCAAGTTAGCAGGGGGTGAGGTAGGCTTCCCTGAAGAGGTGGGTTTTCAGGGTGTGCCTAAAGGAGAGGAGAGTAGGTGATAATCTGATGGGTTGGGGCAGGGAGTTCCAGAGGATGGGTGACACCCTGGAGAAATCCTGGAGGCGGGGGCATGGGAGGAGGAGACGAGGGAACTAGAGAGAAGGAGGTCTTGTGAGGAGCGGAGTGTGCATGCTGGGTGGTACTTGGATATTAGGTCAGTGATGTAGTACGGGGCAGTATGGTGGACAGCTTTGTACGTCAGTATTAGGATTTTGAATTTGATCCGTTGCGCAATCAGAAGCCAGTGGAGGGATTGGCAGAGGGGGGTGGCGTAAACGGAGCGGTTGGAAAGGTGAATGAGTCTGGAAGCCGTATTCAGGATCGACTGAAGTGGGGATAGCCAGCGGCGAGGCAGGCCAGTGAGGAGGGAGTTGCAGTAGTCGAGTCGTGATATGATGAGGGAGTGGATGAGCTGTTTAGTGGTTTCTGGGGTTAGGAACGTGCGGATTTTGGCGATGTTGCGGAGGTGGAGTCTGCACGAGCTTGTTAAAGATTGGGCTGGAAGGATAGGTTGGAGTCCAGAATGACACCAAGTACTCTGGCCTGCGGGGCGGGTTTGATGGTGGTGTTGTTGGACATGATGGAGAAGTCAATGGGGGGTGGGGTCCGGGCTGGGGGGAAGACAAGAAACTCGGATTATCTGTATATAGATATGCCACAGGGCTTCCAGTCCTGAGAGAAGGTTTCCCATGAATGCGTGAAGACAGCTATCTTGGGAAGTCCCAAACCCTCCCCATCTTTGCACAGAAAAATCACCTGCGCGTGCACAGATGAGCTCTGTGCATGCGCCGTAATGGCGGCGCTGGAGCGGGTAGGAGCCACCAGAGAGGTGGACAGAAGATCCGCTATAATTTATTTCTTTTTGTCCTTCAACTGAAGCTGATGAATATGTGACTTTTTCTCAACCTGGTTAACGATGTGACTGTTCCACATCAGTTACTACTATTAGGCTGATAAGAAATTTCAGCTTGTGTGCAATAGGTAAAGGGATAGGTATTTGGAAATAACTAATAATTAACTTATTACATTTTGCCCTTTTCCTTGCAATGAAAATGAAGCAGATAAGCAGCCCAGGGCTTGTCACCCTGAACAATTATGTGCATCTGCCCATCTCCTGCACTTTATTATGCAAATTCACAGAACGACATACAGGTACAGAACAGGTCAGGAAGAGTTACCACTGTGGCATGGGGAGGGGGTCACGCGACCTATTTAGCTATGGGGGGGGCGTGGTCACGCAAAGGTGCCGAGATATGAATTCTGACATGTGGTGTGACTGTTAAATGCATAGAATAAAATTAAAACACAATAATAATTTTGTCATGTTTGTTTCTGGAGACCATTTTGAGATTGGGCTTCAGTAAATAGCACTATGAGACTTTTTTTTGGAAGGATAAGTTCACCTTTTCACAAAAAAACAATAACTGCACATTTTTGCAGGAAAAAAAAAAAATGCATTCACTATTTTTTTTGTTTTGGAAGCCTGGAAAGCATTGGATCCGCGATCAGTTGGCACCATGCAGGATTCATGCAGGCCTGTCAGTGTACCTGTGTGCTCATACCTTATTAAGGGCAAGCAGATACACACTGCTTAGAAAAATCAATGAACTACCACAGCGCTCAACAGCACTGTGGTAGTTCATTGAGAACTACAAACTGACAGCCGCAAAAGCCATTGGAACTTGTAGTTTTCCCATTTACAGCATACTGTGAATGAGTGACACCACCAGGCAGGCGGTGCCCTGCAAGACCACATTTTTTTTTCTCAAATTGTCACAGCTAGAGGGGGGAAAAAGATCCCCGCTAGCTGTCACAATGGGGGATTGGGGTGCGGTCCTTTTGTAACATGTTACATATGACACCCCAAATATGGGTGTCACATGTAACATGCTATGAAAGGTGAACATATCCTTTAAGCAAAAAAGCCCAATCAATAAAGAAAAGAACTAAAAATATAATTAAGTTCCAAAATATGCGATTTTGAAAATGGTCCGACCATAACAGAACACTTTTTTTCTGAAACGCTTGCTATAAATAAACTTTGCATTGCTGGAGAATATATTATTGTTAATAAAATAAGAAGAAAATGCTAAATACAGTCAAGGCATTCCAGGACTGCCAAAAAATCTTCTCTAAGAGGCTGAAGTATGACGCAAATGGCGGTCTACAGTTGACGTTTGTTTTGTTACTGCATGCTGAGTTAGACATGTCATGAAAATAGAGTACCCGTCTACATTTCTAGATTTTTAAAGGAGATTGCCAGAGCCAGGGTACACATTGGCCTGTCTGACTGGGAACTCCTCAAGGCGAAATAGATAAATATGTAACTGTAATAATGTTCTTTTCTCACTCCTAGTACAGGATCAGGATGGCTGTTCTTTCCTGAGATTAAAGCTGAATTCCAGGCAGATATAAAAAAAAAAAAAAAAATCTAGTGATGGCACTATGAATTAATGAAAAAATAACTAAGTGTGTTTTTCATTTTAATTCAGCTAAACACATTCTAGGCACATCAAAGGTGTGTAAAGTCCCACAGTTCATTTACTTTGGAAAGCAAAGTCTGAGCAGAAAAGTCTAAGGATGAGGTTCAGGTTTGCAGTAAACCCTGTAGTCTCAAAATTCAGGGTTCTGGAGAATTGTTTTTGCAGATTTGCCCGGGAGAGTTTTTTTTAGTGGGCCCCCTCAATATAAAAGGGGGAGGGGGGGGGGCAAAGAGCAGCCAAAGTGTCATTATAACAGGCTCCTTTTACACTGATGCAGTGTGGTCTGACCGTACCACAGGTGCAGTGCAGCGTACCTGCAGGTCTGGTGCGGGTTAGCTGCAGGTATGCTGCACTTTTTATTATGTCCTATGGGTTTGATGCTGGTTAGCTTTCCTATAGAGTTCTATAATGTCCCACGGTTTTAGTGCAGTTTCGGGAAGGACAACAAATCCGTAGCTCATAATAGAACGCTATGGGAAAATGCAGCGAACCTGCAGCCAACCCACGCCAAACCCATGGGTACACTGCACTGCACCCGTGGTGCGGTCAAAACTCACCTTTGTGAAACGGGCCTAAATAGCTGTGGGGAAAAGAAGAGTAACGGCAAAATTTCCACAGGGAGAGATTAGTCTATGAAAATATACTTTGTTTGTGATTGCTAGCTCTTTGGACAATCAAAAGCAAGATAAGGAGCAGGGTCAGGGTAAATAACAAGCAGTATCTGGCTAGTTGAGCAAACCTGGATACAGGTAGAGGGCAGGAGCAGGTAAAACACTGAAGCAATCAGGAACAGTAGAGGAGGAATTAAATACCCTTCCAGCAGCCAGCATCAGCTGCAGACTGATTACTGAGATCTGCTGGCTGTTGGGAGACACCTGCTGGTGGAAACTGGAACTACAAACATTGCACTCTGTGAACCACAGTGCCACCAGCAGGTGATCCAGGTTTTCTCAATTACGCTGCTGTGTCACCTGCGTTCTCCTAATTCTAAGCCTTGGTTCACACCGGTGCAATTTGACAGTTCCAAATTGCATGACAATTCGCACCCTGTTGTCGGCCATGGAACGGTTCACATTTTTTGCAACTCCAACTTTGCGGTGCCGCACTGATTTGGAAGAAAGGTTCCTGCACTATTTTTTTTTTTTGCAGTTTCAGTTGCGACTCGCATAGACATCTGTGCATAAAATTGCACAGATGACAGCAAGTCACATATGAAATCGCACTCCTGCAACTTTGAAATCAAAATTGGATTTAATGTGAACTAGGTGTTAATAAGAAATTGCCCAGTTGCTCTCTGAAGGGAAGCGACCTCTCCAACTTGCCCCCTGTTCAGTTTGACTTATTGTTCTGCAAACAGCAAGGGAGTTATGTCATCCCTGGCTGGTCAATAAAAATAGCTAAAGACTCCAGACTGGCAGAAGATCAGGAAGAGATAAAAGTGAATGCAACGGTACAGTGGAGAAGAATGCGGACCTGGAGCAGGGCACTATGTGGGGTAAGAATGCCATAATGTGTCACGCCTAC